TCCTCAGGGTCTAACCCGGGTCCTGCCCGAGCAGCGGTGGGCCGGTGAGGGTGTGCTGCTGCAGCCTGGCTCTCGTCTGCCGAGCCCTGCCTGCCCAGGCAGGAGCGGAGCTGGGTGCGATGCTCAGTTCTGCGTTTCTCGCAGCCTGGGTCGCGCCGCCTTCCCTCTGCCCAGTGGCGGGGGGGGGGCGAGGTGGCTGGGGGCTGCATTTGGGTGTGGGTGCTCTGTGGGAGGGCTGGGTGCTCAGATGTCTCCTGAGCACCGTGCTGGGAGTGCCGCACGCCCGAGGGCTATGTGTCTTGTTCTCTGCCCTAGGCCACGGCCAGACTTCTTCTATCGATGCTTCCCAGACGGACGAGCGAACGCGGAGCTGGTGTGCACGGGCGACTCTGGCATAGTGACTGAGGGACGCAAAAGCTTCCCCAGTGGACACGCTTCGTGTAAGTTTTCCGTGTCCCCTACCCACTGCAGCCCCAGACAGCAAACCACGGTGAGCAGAAGCCCCTGGGGAGGGCAGCTTGGGTTTGCTTTCATGCACCCCATGGCTTTGGCTACATCATTCATTGGCCTGTTTGGGGGCCTCAACTTTCCCCTTGCAAAACAATGGGGTGAAAAATGTAATCTGAAGCTGTCTGTAACTGGAAGGAGCGATGGCTTGCCAAGTACCAGCTTCGATGGCTCCTCCATCGCTCATGAGCTGGTGCTTCCCTTGGCTTGCATGGGCAAGGCAGACTTCCTCTTTCAGCCCTTCTCCTGTCAGCCCGGGAGAGGGTGAAGACGTGGCTGAGGGCCCACAGCAGAGCCTGGAGCCATTTCTGAAGCGACACGCTTCTCTTTCAGTCGCCTTCGCTGGTCTCGCCTTCTCTGCCTTCTACATAGCTGGGAAGCTGCGCTGCTTTACTCCTGGCCGGGGAGGCAGGGCTCTGCGGCTCTGTGCCTTCCTCCTCCCGCTGTTCCTCGCCACCCTCATCGCCGTGTCCCGCACCTGCGACTACAAGCACCACTGGCAAGGTGGGTCGGCGTCTGCCTGCAGACCTGGACGGGGGCACAACCGGCTGCCCTCAGCGGGGGCACTCTGGGCACAGGGTGTGTGGGCATGGGTTCAGAGCCCAGGATGGCAGCTTGGGTTTTTTGATTATTCCTCCGGGGGTAATTTTTTTGCTGCCTGCAAGGTGATGATGCCTTTCTCTTCATTTTTGAAGTATCTGCTAAGTTTAGTTTTATGGCCAAGGGTCAAGTTGCCAATCTGGCTCAGCCCTGAGCGGGCTGAAGAGCAGCCTGCTGGAGGATTCAATCGTGAAGCTTGGGAGGGTAAAGGGAAGATAACTCTCCTCTGGTTTTGCCCGCAGATGTGTTGGTTGGCTCAGCGATCGGCTTTGTGCTTGCATACATCTGCTACAGGCAGTATTATCCTCCTCTGATGGACTCCATGTGCCACAAACCGTTTCTGTACAAATCCAAACAACTGCCAGCGCACCAGGAAAAGCCTGCAGCTTCCAGCTTTCACCTAGATATATAGCGACGGGCTATGTCCTGCTGGCACCTCTCCTGCTGCTCCTTCCATGCTAGGGCAGGGGAAGGCCTTGGGGAAGTTGGTCGTGGTCTGCAAGAAGTGGCTCAAATGAGGATGAACCTGAAACCCAAGCGGGCGTTCTCTGCAGTGCTGGTAAGTTGTCCTGCTCAGGGGCCTGTGTTGCTTCATTAAGCAAATTTTGTAGGTGTCCCTCCCTTCGGGCCCGCTGCGAAGCAAGCGAGGCGTTCGGCGTGCAAGGCTGCGGGAGGACGGCCGGTTACGAAAGGTGCTGAAGCAAGAACTGGAAAAATACGACAATCTGGTGTGCCCCGTCCAGGGGTATTCTTGTGTCCAGTGCAGAAAGCACCATCCGTCATCTCCCTTGGTCCAGCTGAGCTGTCCCATCCCTTCCCACGGGAAGCACGTGTCAAAATGAAGTGCGGGACCTGCTCCTGGTGCCAGGTTTAAGTCCCGTCTTTTCAATTGCAGCTGAACTAATTTGGAGGAATGAGTGTGAGGTTGCAGTCTTTAATCATGGACTGAGTGGGGGAGAGGGAAGGTGAAACTAGCATGATCATTATTTTATCATTGTGCTAGCCCTGATTTTTTCTAATTTGCCAAATAAAGGAGTTTAATTTTTTTTAATGAACTGTAGTACTAAAAACTTTACTTCAAGGACTGGGTTTATTGCTGTATAAACCATTTCCTTTGGTGTGTCTGCAGGGGTTTCTAGGTGAGTGTTTATTTTGTATCTCTTTCCTTGCAGCTTTAATACAGTTGTAAAGAGATGAGAATCAGCAGAAAATGAATGGTGTCTGAAAGCTTCTTTCTCTACACCATGGTTTTTCTCAGACAATGGAAGGGTAGAGTGCTGCTGAGAAATCCAAGGCACAGCCCTATGGCAGGACTGTTGTAAGTAGTTGTTTGTCACTAGTCTCCTCCACAGATCTGTATATTCTTGATCAAGTGTGCATACATGCAAACAGCAAAGATAAGGCTGTATCAGAGCAAGGCACGTGTGCCTCTGCCAAGCTCAGGACATGGGAGTAATGGAAACACCACCCCATCATCTTCAGTGTGGGCCACGTAAGCCCTATATGACCCTGCAACTTCAGCAGAAGCTACAGAAATGGCTTTACTTTCCCCTAAAATTATGCACATGTGAATTTTTCAACCCCCTCCCCTCTCTCTCCCCCCAGACATGCACACACTACAGTCATCTACTTATTTATTTTGGCTTTTACTGGAAAAGACATTAAATAACATTTTAAATGTATTTAACTTTTTTTTTTTTTACAAAGTGCATAACTTAAAAAGCCGATCATGAGAGTGGCCCGTGTTAAGACTGTTCCTTTTCCTACTCTCGTAGGAGACGCTTTAGCAATCAGTAGTTCAGGTGCCGACTGAGCAGCATGTCTGTTTCTGCAGTCAGGTAAAAGAACAGCTTCAGTTCCTTTGGGATGGGAGGAGGGATGTAGGCTGCAAACAAAACCTTTCAAATAGTGCAAATAACGTAGTACAACGGAGGACAAACAAACAGGCTGTGGAAAAAAGGCTCCTTACCCCATGCAGGGCAAAAGTCGGTGGGAGGGAACATGGTTTGGCTGTTTCCAAAGGCTGTCACAGCAACGACCTTGCACATCACTGAAGCGTCTGCCTCGCCCCGCGGCTCCAGCCTCAGCCCAGCCAGTGAGTCAGCCTGGGTGGTTTTGGTCGCAAGGGAGGGCTCACCGGAGGCTCTCTGGCCCCATCCTCCTTGGAGCAGGGCGAGCATGCGGCAGGCAGCTGCAGACTGAACTGCCTGCAGAGCTGGTGTCATTTCTTCAGTGGGGTCATTGGGACACAGTGTTCAGACCCTACAGATCTGGGCTCCAACTTCGCTGGCTGAATTTTGTGTATTTAAAACCAAAACCAGTGACTTGGCGCCTGGCTGGCGTGAGATCCCTGTAGCCACCCTGAAAGCCACACTGCAGCACGACGGTAGCGTTGCTCCGTGCCCCTGCAAAGCACAGGAGGGCTGTCCCTCCAGGCCTCCGAATTGCCTGGACGCTGCTGAGGAGCGGCTGCTTTCCCCCAGTATAGCTGTGGTTTGACCTGGCCGTGAAGCTTTCCTCCCGTGTAGTCACGCCTTGCCGCTAGCTTGGTCCTACGCAAGATGCAGGCAGTGCCTCAGGGAGGCCCTTGGTTCGTTGGCCCCCGTGGGCTGGATGAGGATGCTGAGAAGTCGCTGCAGCAGGCAGCAGGAGCAGCTGGGTCAAGCGCGCACAAACATGCCACTCTCATGAGTTGTTTTATGGGGCAGTCCTGCCTGGCACGGCCCACGGGTGCACAAACCACGCAGCAGCCATTCAAGGTGAGAACGGCTGGTAGACACGTTCCTGCTCACTTAGCAGCAGATGCCTGTGCCCTGGGCTTCACCTCCCAAAGACCGCAGTCCTTGCGCCTGGTGCTCTGTGTTCTGGCAGGGAGAAGTCGGCAATCTCCTTCGCTCGACAAGGCTGCTACAGCTCTCTCCACGCTGCGTTTTAAGGCTTTTATTCCTCAAGGTCACAAGCTGCGAGTTTCCTCACTGTGCCAGGAGCAGAGTCAGGCCCTCGACATCGGTTCCTAGCCCAGACAGCTAGTCTGCTTCGGTGCTAGAGGAGCTAGTGTGATAACTTACAAGGTGGAGGGTTCAAAGTACACGTTGCCACAGGGAGTCACAGTGCAGGTGCTCTGTGTGTTTGAGCAGAAGTGTTTTCCCTTGATACTTTTCCCCCCGCCCGTGCCCAAAATGGAGGAAAATCATCCTTATCTCCAGGTAGCAGCAAGTACTTGGGAAGCAGCATGCGGGACTCAGCAGCAGAGGAGAGAGGAAGGCAGAGAAGAAATCTGGACTTTCCTGGTGAGTACTCGGTTGAATTGGATCTAAGAAAGCAAAAGGAGAGCATAGGAATAGCTGCACTGGGGCAGACCAAAATCCACCCGGCCCAGCCTCCCATATCCAGCGATTACCAGCATTAGGCTTCGAGGGCAAGAAAGCCTACGGATGTGCCTTACCCCTAGTCTCCCCTCGGCCAGCAATGAGCAGCAGAGGGTGAAGGCACCCCTGCAAGGACCGCAGGGTCCACGCTCTGGTTCGCTACCGGTCTGCAAGAAATGTTTAGCCCAGGAAGCTTAAGAGTACAGGCCAGGCATCTGGTCGTTCCCTTGGTGGACAGAACTGATCGTAACCATGCACGGTTGCTGCTGCCCTTAGCAGCAGCAGCAGTTATTAGCTCTCCTTGTGTCTGATAGTGCTTGTGTGCAGGAGAAGAGGAAAGAAGCCAAACATGCTGACAGGCCAAAGAAAAAACCCAGCACAAACTCCTGCCTTAGCCACAGTGCTGTAAATAAGGAATATTATTCCCTCAAATAGACCAGATGCCTTCTGAGGTGTCCTAGGAAATTCAGAAGAAAGGTGTAGGCAAGGTGACTTACATCAGGTGGCCAGAACAGCACAGGTTGGTCAATGGCTTCCTGGCAAAGGTTGATCCAGTGTAATGCCTTGTGTCTGGTAGATCTCCTTCAGAACCAGCAGAACGGTGTCTTCCGACTCCCTGGAGCAGGAGGACATGGGCATTAGAGGGGGACGATTCCCTTCACTCTGTCAGGATATCTGTGATGGTTGTGGGGTAGATGTGGCGCTCAGCAAACGCAGGCAGCATTAGGCAAGGGGAACTACACCGGTCTCCTTTGTCCCTACCCACCCGCTACGTCTGTGTTACAGGCAGAGTATCTTGTTCACACAGTTAAGGCTTTTCTCACTACGTTGGCTTTAAAAATGATGGCATTCTGCTTACATCAGATGTGAATTTGAAGCCGACTGTTATGCAGAAACTTACCAATAGCAGAGATGCCCTTGTAGTGCAAATAAATACTCATTAAAGCTCTCTATTGGCTTCTCCTGCAGCACGTAGTCTATGCGATTCCCTCCGTTCAGCCTCCCCACGTTAATGAGGGTGGCCTCTTCCTTCACTGCTGTGGGAGTCTCGTTTGGCTTCGTGTCTGAAGGAATAAAGGGCAACCTGGTTCAGCCATGAGGCACCAGCAGCCATAAAAATACAACAGCATCACTGTGCCCTCCCTTTGCCCCACTGTGGGCTCTTGCAGAGGAGAGGCAGCTTGAGTGCTCGGTCCTTCCCCCAGGGCTTTCTCTTGGAAAACAGTATTGCAAGAGACTGCTAGAGCAGGGCAACAGGCGTGGCAGGCTTGCGAAGTGGTGTGGTGTGCCGAGACCCCCCAGGAGGCCGTTACTGACCAGGCAGGTTGCCTCGTCTCCCCCTCCACCAGGCAGTAACAGGGGAAGGCCACAGCATTTGGAAAGCCAAGTGCATCTGCAGCTCAAAAGCAATCCCTTCACTGAGCACGGAAGACGGCGGCAGCGCCTGGGTTTGACGCCAGGATGGGCACCTCGCCGGCGCGGCTGCGGGGAGCCTGAGCACGCTGCTCGCGGGGCAGGTCACAGTGCTGCATCCCCAGCTCCCCGCCGCCCTGTGTGCACCACCCACCTGGCTGCTTCTCCACGCCGGCCTCTGCCTCCACTTCGGCGTCGGTACTCGCTGCCTCCACGGCCGGCAGCGGGGCTCGAGTGAAGGACTGCCAGGCTACCCGCAGGGACCCCAGCAAGTTGTTCTTCAGGTCCACGCTCATGCGCGTCAGCCCTTCTTTCAGCTCTAAAAGGCAGGAGGGGTCGGCGTCGGGCTGGGGGGCTGCCGCAGCTGCCCCGGGCAGGGGGAGAGGGGCTGCCCTTTCCCTTACCTAGGTGCATTCTCTTCCTGCCTTTGTGGTGAGGCAGCAGCATGGGCTCAAACTCCAGATCTGGGACGATCATGGGCTCAATCCTGTAGGCCACCGGGTCAAACTGTATGGAGGAGGGGGACAGTGAGCCAGGGCTCGTGGCACATGCGCTTCACGAAGGAAGGCTCTGGCTCTTATACATACGGGGTGGAAGATGTTGAAGAAGCCTTTGCAGGTGGGCAGGCTATAGTTTGGGTTGATCCGCTTCACTCCCCGCACCGTGAGAAACATCCCAATGGGAGACCCAAAAGCAAAGAAGATGGTGGGCTTGTAGTTTAGCTGAGGATAGTTTGCTGAGACCTAGGAGAGAGGGAGAGTCAGATTTGTTTCATGGGAAAAACTCCATGCTGGTGTTACGAGCGCCTCATTGCAGTTAAGAGCATGGTGCTGAGCTCGGTAGTTACCTGTCCTAAGCCAACGTCCCGGTACTGGCAATTCCTGCCATTGCCTGTGCTCTCTGAGTCGTGCTGTGACGGGGACCCAGGCCTGGCTCCATGCTCCCCGCTGTGCCCGGGAGCCGCTGGGCTCTGCTCCTGCAGCAACACAACCGGGAAACCCAGCTCGCGCGGCGCCTGCAGCGAGCCCATGCCGCGGCCCGTCCTGCCCGCCCGTGAGCAAGTACATGAGGCAGCGAACTGCCCGGCACCCCTTATCCTCCAGAACCAGGGCTGTCTTGGCAGTGTCATCCTACTCCAGCCAACCACCTCTCTAGCTGGCATCACTTACTTCAGTCTCTACCACCATTAACAAGTCCTCCTGCTCTGTGATCACCCCTACGGGCCACGGGATAAAGTGATCCTGCAGTGGGGGAACACAGGGCAGCAGCAAGCAGCTCTGTCACCACAGCCAAACACAAGCCTGTGGGAGCTGCCTGAGCAAGGACGGCCAGGAGCGAGGAGGACAGGGTGCTCGGGGACTGGTCATAAGTGGTGAAGGCTGGTCCTTGTCTGAAAGCGATGGGATGTGACCTGGATGAGTACAAGCTGTACAGAAGACAAACCTGCGTATCCCTCTTAGAGCTGATGTAATGGAGTATCTTCATTCTTGGTCCTAAGGGAATTCCCATTTCTTTAAGGTTTTTCTCTGTGCACAAGAACTGGAAAATAAGCAACCCAGATATTAGTACAGGAGCAGAGAGGTGTGTGCAGTGAGGTATTTCTGTTCTAATTCTGTTCCTGCTGCACTCCTCAGAGACATTTCACATGCGAGTGACGGTACCAGGACAATGTGCAATGGGCAGGAGGACCGGGAAGACAAGCAAAGAAGCAACACGAGACAGCAGAACAGGAGAGCTCCTTACCAGTGCTTGCCTGTCCATTTTCTCCTTCTCAAAAACATCACAATATTCGGAAAGCTCCAGCTTCTTCAAGATTTCTTTTATTTCCTCAATGCCCCTGTTGCTTGAGGTTGTCCTGGGCCCCTGCGAACGGAGCCATCAGGGATCATGCTTTCTGCTCACTTACCGTCTCCTGTGCGTCCCGCGGTCTCTCCCCCTTCCCCGCACAGCCGCAGAAGCAGCAGGTCGGTGCGACGCTGCACCGGGACAGCCTCCCGTGGAGGAGTACCCCAGGGGACCCACCGGAGAGCGCGTACCTCTTCGCTGTGCTCATCCTCCTCGGGAGCAGCCTTCTGGTTCGTCAGGAGGTCAAACAGAATGAGCGACCCTAGAAACCCGGCGCGGGCAGACAGAGCGTCAGCGCCTCGTCGGGGAGAAGCCCCGAGCCAGCTCCTTTCTGGGAGGAAAGACCCCCCCGCTCCCACGGTACGGTGTCGCTGACGGGACCCTTACCCAAGCTGTGCCCCGCAATGGAGACCCCCCCTTTGAAGAGCGGGTTCCTCTGCAGGAAGAGCTGGTGCAGGCGGTTCATCTCGGACGCCACCGTGTCCACGATGGTCTGGCAATAGGTGGAGCTGTTGTAAAAGAAAACGTCCAGGATGGTGTCGTTGATGAAGTGACGCAGGCGATTGATGCTCGGCAGAGTGATTCGCTCCAGGTCCCTGCGGGGGGAAGGAGGAGAGGGAGTTCTGGTTAGGGGCGCCAGTGAACCCCACCACGTTTCTAAAGGGAAATGTAAGCTCAGAGAAGGATTGCCACCGTCTCAAAGGACGTCCTGTCCTAATCCAGAGCCTTGGCTCACGCCAAGACCGAAGGTGCAGCACAGCCTGTGCTCTTACACCCCAGGCAGGAGTAAGGAGCCTGGCCGTTCTCCCCCAGGAGCCGAACCTGCTCTCTCCCCTTCCTAGGGCACTGCAGAGCAGCGCTTGAGTGCAGAAACCGGGCACTCGGTTTCCAGAGGCCGTTAGCAGGGCGTGGATGTCCACAGTCCCTCCTGATATTAGCCAGGGAAAGGCAGAGGCCTCTTGTCCCGTGCAGATCAGAGCAGGCAGCTGCTGCGCTCTGCAAAACAGGGCGGCAAAAAGATGGTGGGGAGGGGGTCTGGCACAGAGGTGCTCTGTGGCACCCCGTCTGTCCTGCTTACGCCTGCATGCTCACAGCCCTAAACACTCTCAGCTTTCCCTTTGCCTGCAACGGCCACCAGAAAAAGCAGAGCTGACGCTGGAGCGGGCTGGCTGTGCGCTTTGCCATTGCCACGGACACCGGCACCGGAGGAGGTGACTGTCCAGGACACTTACACGTCCACCCCGGTGGAGTGGAGGGAGCTGTGCCAGTTCACAGGTAGGAACTCCACCCGGCCGATCTGCTGCTGCTCCTGGGCTTTCTTGAAGTGCGCTTGCAGCATGCTCAGGGAAACATTCCTGAAGTCATTCACTGGAAAAGAGCATGAAGTCTTACCGAGATCCACTGGGCTACAAGGCAAGCCTGCTGCATCAACAACACTTAATAAGGTAAAAGATCATTACCAGGGGAAATCCCACCAGGGTCTTTAATCTGCTGCTGCTACCCTAAGGCCTTGAATCTTTAACTACAAGATCAGGGGAAGGCGCCATGTCCTTACATGTGTGTTTACTGTATTTCGTTGTCGTATCTGTAACAAGTCTCCTTTCCACATGCGCAGGGCTTTAACGCAGCAGACAGGATAAGAAAGGTACTTTTAGGAATTTAAAAAAAACAAATCTGTTGCAAAGGTGCATGTGTTAGAAACAGAATGCTAAGGGAGGAGATGAACTTGAAATTACTCAGTTCTGAGGGAGAAAGGCTGATTTACTCCATTTCAAATGGTCAGTGCCTTGAAAATAGTTTACTTAGATGAACATATAGACTGCATTAAAGCAAAGGTATATTTTATAGGAACTAAAGACAGTCTGCTGTGAACAATCTCAGCTCCCTTGATTTCTACAAGTTAAACCATCTTGGGCTTCCAGGCAGTTTCAGTGACCACCTCTCCAACAGAACCGAAGCACTCCGAGCAAGTAATAATGAACAGGTCAGACCAGAGTTACTTGGCTGAGTACCCTGTCACCAACATTGATCAACAGTGGGTGCTCAGAGGAGAGTGTAAGACCAGCGATACTTCCTCGCACGTGCTCCTGACCTCCAGGCTTTTTCAGCTTAGGGATTTCCTGAGCCGAAGCAGCATCTCTGTTTTTGGTCCAAAACCACTCCAGAGGCTGCTGGATAGGGTGTTGCCTGTTAGACTTCACACCGTGAGATTAACCTGTAGCAACAGACTGAGCAGGTTACTAAGAAGTTCAGCAAATCTGTATCCAGTTTGGGAAACTCACTATTTTGAGCAGCAGCAGAACACAGTGATGAAAAGTGGTTGCCCAGACCTTCCCAGATGGTAGGATTTAATGGGTTAGTGAGCGTTGCACTCACGCTCCTCCCTGCAGTCAGCAAATTTGACCATGCACTTGCCAGCGTGAGTGTCGGGATGGTTTGAATGCACGCTGACAGCGGTTCACATTGTCCACGCAGATGAGTGTTTACTGGCTCCGCTAAAAGCAGCGTGTGGAAAGAGCATCCCAGCCGGGCTCCACACCTACCGCACTGGACGATGCTCCTGAACCGAATGTCACACGCTGGGCCAATCCCGTGCACCACGAAAACCAGGTGATCAATTTGCAGAGGCTCTCCTAAGGAGGAAGGAAGAGTTCAGAGCACAGGCCCTGACGGAGACACCGCTTAACGGGGAACTGACCCGCTGAAACCACATGCTCTGCAGGAGTGGAGCCTCCCATCCTCACCCCAGCCCGGTAAAAAACCTTGAGTTAGTGTCTGGATTTTATGCCTAAAGGGTAGTGGGATTTCTCGTGTTTCTGATCTGTTTGTCCTGCAAAACTCAGCTGCCCACCCTGGGAGGGATCCTGAAGGCGAGGCAGCTCGTCCCCGCTTCTGTCACCATCCTCCCTTCAGCGGGAGTGGATGGTCCTTGCAGCTCACACCCATCCGGCCGTGGGGCAGGTTCAGCCCAGCGAGGAGGCACGACCAGGAGGACTCGGTCCCGCTGCCCTGTGCCCAGCGCGCTCTCCTGAGCCGCTCAGCCCCCACGTAGCTGCATCCCTCGGGTAGGCACCAGCTGGAGTTACGTCTTGTTCTCCACTTCCCACATGCTTTAGTTTGCATACGTACTTTCCTGACGGCATGCATGCACAGAAAATGAAGGGGTTAGACAGCAGTACCTGGCTGTCCTCACCACGGGGACAAGTCCTGAGGACTGACCAGGAGCTCAGGGACAGCTGGGAGGGGGCAGAGCTGACACACAGCCTCAGAGATGGGGAGGGCATGTGCTGCAGAAAGTCACCTGCACATAGGTAAGTGATAAACCCTCATGTCCCTACCATGGAAAGAAACTCTCCTCCTTTACAAACATACATGCCAAGACCTCATGTAGTTTCAGGCACTGCAGTGCTTTCAACAGCTCTGCTCTCGGTGCAGGAGCTGGAAGCGCACCGCCTTCTCGTGTGTCTGCACGTTCACTTACACTGTGGGCTCTCTGGTGCTAGGAAGGTTTCTGAAAACCATTCAGTTCCTTTCAGCATAAAATTTTTAGATGTGCACTTCACTGAAGGGATCATAGAAGCTTCTGTCAGTCTTTTTGAATAAAGACGTTGGAAAACAGACTCTGTAGCTTTGGATGGGTGGAAGGGAGGGAGACATGAGCTTACCATTGGGGATCTCGGCAGCGATGTTTTCTACTCCTCTCTTCACAGTCCGAGGTCGACCTTGTTCCGTAGGCGTTGAGCCCCAGTCATCAGAGGTGGCAACCGGATGGTAGTGCACCATCAGCTTGTAAATAAGAAGAGGCTGTCATTCAGCTGCGCTGCATACCGTCGCTACAACAGCTGGTAGGTGATACGGGGTGGCACCAGACCGTGCTGCGTAACACTGCTGGTATGAGCCCTTTGCACAAAGAGAGTGAGAGGTGTGTGGAAAAGAAACACTAAGGTGTGAAGCAGACTCTCTGCTGGCATTGCCCTCTACTCTGGCGCAGGTCGGCAAGGAGAACGCCGTTTGGCCTAGGTAGATTTCTCGGCAAACATGGTTAAAAGAAACAGCATAAAGACAGGCCCTCAAGAGAACTGAAGGGATGTCCTTGCTGGTCAACACAAAGATCACCAGGCCTTCCTCACCTTTGGGTTGTGCAAGATAATGATTTCCCTGCTAGGGGACTCCAGTTTCTTCTTCCACTCATCCAGGGTCACAGCAATCATGTAAGCTTCCTAGGGAGAAGAACACCCTGTATGAGTCATATGCCCGAAGGTATTCTCATGAATATTTGACCGCATTCCCCACCCACTCTACAATATCTCTTATCAACAAACTTTGCAAAAGAGGCAGAGAAATCAGCCAGGTCAAGCTGGAGGAGCGACAGGGTCATCCTGGGTATCACCTGTGAGAGTTTCCAGGAAGCTCCCGTTTTAATAGCAGTAGCAGACTTCCCCATCAATTCAGAACTGTATTTTTTGGTACATCAGAATACAAATTCTTGTAAAGATGTATATTTTTGTACATACATCTCTCTCTCTCTATCTTTCCAAAGAAAAGTCTCCAGCCATTAACAGTACAGACCACTGAAGTCTCTAACACTACCTAGCGTTCAGTGGGTCCCTGTAACAGTCATTTCTCTTTCTTGCATTCACAACTCCCTTGGTTTTCGTGAAAACTATGAGTGCAGTGAGGATGATTCTCACAAGGAGAGTCAAACTGAAGTTAGAGCAGACAGGGCTCAGGAAAAAACAGAGCAAAGCTGCTACAGCGAGGCTGCAAGCAAGGCCAGAGCCGCACGGCATGCCGAGAGCACCCGGGCACTTGAACGTGTAGCAGAAGGATGCTGACACGGCTGGACGAGGGCAGGAGGAAGGGGAGGCCGCCCAGCAGCAGGCGGGGAGGGCGACAGCGGCAGTGTTTGCAGCTGCATTAAATCAGCTGTGAAAACGCCATGCCAAAGCCGCCTTTGAGGTCATGTCATAGAATCATACCGAGTCATAGAATGGTTTGGGTTGGAAGGGACCTTTTCAGGACATCTAGTCCAACCCCCCTGCAATGAGCAGGGACGTCTTCAACCAGAGCAGGTTGCTCAGAGCCCTGTCCAACCTGACCTTGAACGTTTTCAGGGATGTGGCATCTCCCACCTCTCTGGGCAACTGGTGCCAGTGTTTCACCACCCTCCTTGTGAAAAATGTCTTCTATCTATCACAGAATCACTAGGTTGGAAAGGACCTTCAAGATCATCAAGTCCAACCATTAATCCAGCGCCACCATGTTCCCTAAACCATGTCCTGAAGTGCCACATCCACACATTTTTTGAACACTTCCAGAGATGGCGACTCCACCACCTCCCTGGGCAGCCTGTTCCAACGCTTACGCTTGACCACCCTCTCGGTGAAGAAATTTTTCCTAATATCCAAATCTAGTCTAAACCTGCCCTTTTTTAGTTTATTGTCCTGTCGCAATAGGTCCTGCTAAACAGTCTGTTCCCATCTTTCTTACCAGCCCCTCCTAGCCCTGGCAGCTGCACTAAGGTCTCCCCGGAGCCTTCTCTGCTCTGGGCTGAACCCCCCCAGCCCTCCCCGCCTGTCCTCCAAGCAGAGCCG